CACTGTCTGATGTGTCCCCTCACCCACTTTTCTGTTGTCTATCCCCCAGGGAGGAGGTTATATGTAGATCCCTGTAATCGGTTCCCCCTTTCTACCCCGCCCTCCTGGCATCACCATTCTCACCACTGGTCCTGAAGGGACCATCTGTCCTGGATTCCCTGTGTTTCTAGTTCTCTCACCTTTTTAAGGACTTACCTGTGCATAGTCCGTTACTTTTCTTCCTTTGCCTCCTAGCATTTCCATTATTATCCTTCATCTTTACATTATGCCATCCCTCTGCCATCTGGTGTGTCTGTCTCCCCCACCCCTCCCTTTTTTCCTGTCTTTAAAAAAAGTCTGCATATGCTGCTTCTTATTTCTTGCCTCCATTCCATTCTTCAGCTCACTCTTGGCTACCTCTGTCCCCACGACTACTTTTAAACCTACTTGTTGAGATCTCGCACGTATTTCCCATTGCCAGTCCAGTGGCCACGTCTTTGCCTCTGTCTTCCTCTTTCAGTGTTCATAGCCCACAGCCCATGGTTTTCCCGTCCCGTCCGCTCACTCTGTGGATATCGGAGCACCTTTGCACTCACCTGACCCCTCTTTCCGTACTCTTACCTGGGTTGTCTTTTGTATGCTTGTAGTTTAAAAGACCATCTAAATGCTAATAAGACTCAGACTTACATCTCCCGTTCAAACATAGCTTCTAAAGTCCACATTCATCTATACAACTGCCTACTGGTTATCTCTGCTCGAAGTCCTCAAACACTTCAACAGAGTAAGGACAAAATAGAAATTCTTTATATTCTATCTAAATGCATTTTCTTGCAAATCGAAATTCTTGTTATTCTACAGCACTAAATGTATTTTCTTGCAAATCGAAATTCTTGCTATTCTACCTAAATGTGTTTTCTTGCTAACTTTTCTGACCCATCTTAAGACTAAGGGTATGGTACCAGCATCCCCACAATTTATCAAACCAACACCTAGGAAGCAGCCTTTATTCTTCTTGTAGGCTATCTCTAATCTGAATTAGTCAAGTGATTCATTCTACCTTCAAAATGTCTCTGTGACAGACTTCTTTATCACTGCTCAGTCCTAAGACCTTACATTTGCACATACACGCATGTGTGCACACACATCTGCTCACACACATGTCTATTTCCTGTGATCAGTTTATTTTCTCTCATCTTTACATGATTTATTCCTGTTAGATTCAGCAGTTGGAGAGTGGTTCACCTGGGAAACTGAAAGTAGTGGCCAAATCCACTGAAGGACGTGAAACGATTGAAGACATATATAACACAGTAAGCTTTTGTTTTAGACAGAAGTAAATGATGCGGTCATAAACGAGTACAGATTAAGCTTAAGGTTTCTTTCTTACTCCAAGAGTATAATAAATATGAAGATAATTGGGTTGCTCACATTTAACAGTTTTCCGTAATACTTGATTAATATTGTTCAACATATGTGCGTATAATTGTACAAAGAACAAAATCTGGAGGCACATATACCAACTATTATTAGCAGTACTATTCTGAGGAATTGGATATGTTATGTTTCCCCATTTAAATGTAGAGAGGGCCTTCAAAAAGTTTATGGAAAAATGGAATTAATGGATAATGGAATTTTTCACAAACTTTTTGAAGCCCCCTTTGTAAGGACAGCTAAACAGTGACTATTTTATATAATCAAAACACCAATAAAGGTTTTTTTAATTTTGAAAAAAATATAAAATATCTCTGACAAAACAAATAATTCATGGCCTATTTTGGATAGGAACAGTGTTTTAATTACTAGTATTTGAATGACAACAATTATTTGATAAAATGTAATTTTTGACTTACA